AATCATTGGGGAGGCGTAGGGAAAGCGATCCATCGAGGTCGAGTTCACTTTCAGTGAAAACTTCAACCCTCGTGGAAAGTGTTTTTAGGGAGGAAGGAGAGCTTCTCTCGAACAGATCCGGTATATCCTCGATTATATACCGTTAGTAAAAGCAGATTATCCATGCCCTTGCACATATATATGTCTCTCTCTCTGTCTCGTTCTTGTGCGTAAACGCGTATCACCTCTCTCCTTCTATCTTTCGCTATGTTCGGTGTGACAGCTGCGGTGCTTAAAATAGGGGTTCGGTGGTTCAGCAACGTGCATCTTTGCTTTTGTACAGCCACGATAATGCGAGCATGTGCCAGGATAAATCGTGCAAACGATCGTCACATTGAATAAACCTGATTTTTCCATTCATAAGGCCCGTTGTTCAACAGCCTTTGCGAACTATGATGATCAACTGTACGATCGAGAAATCTTTTTTAACTCGTCGATTGTTGTTCCCTGCGTTGTTGTCTGGTAGATGTGGATCGACGATGCAATAAAAATCGAAGGGTTCGTAATAAAAAAAAGGAGTCTTGTAAATTTTTATTCTTTTTTTTTTTTAAAGAAGAGAAAAATAATTTGATATTTTTAATTTTTATTTTAGATAGATTTTAGAAGAATTATTTATTTATATTTATTAATTGACAAAGTAGACGAGGATTGTTTTTAACGTGACAAATAAGTAATTTTAAGTAACGAACTGTACCATATGTTCGACAAGTTATTGGTACGCTATATTAAATTCATTACACGCAAAATTTGAGCCAAATTGGTGAACCAAAGGTCGTGCACGCCCCTTTTAAGGTTAATAATTGATACGATCGATACGGGGACATTAACGATTCATGATCATATTTATATTATATTTTATTTTATTATATTATATTATATTTGGAACTTAAATGATTTTTCAAATTTTAATGGAAAAGGGATTTTTTATCGATTATCCAGCATTTGAAAGAAATAAAAATTATTTCACTTATTGATCGAATTCAGGCTGGTTACCGAACAAGTTGGTCGACAAAACACGTTGCTATATCATTAACTATGCACATCCGTCTCACCGACAAAAGGGTAAACTCGGAGATCCTGTTTGAATTTTTTTTTTTTAATTCAAATACCTTTTGTAGCTTCCCTTCTATTGTTGTATAAAATTTTATTTTATAAAGAGCGGACTTGATCCTAATTTTTTTCTAAAAATTAAATCATATGTAAAAAAGAAAAAAAAAACATTATTTTGTAATATAAACGGTAATATTATTGCAATATTATTTTATAATATAAATGGAAGAAGAAAGTTTCAAAAAACACTTATAAAAACCGTCATGGCGAAATGTTTTTGAACGCGGAAATACGTAATATTTTCCATGTTTCTATGAACTATTCCTTGGAATTCAAGCAGTTTCCAGGTCATTGTGAAATTTCTTGTCCTTTTTTCCACTGTTTTATATATCCTGAATATCGTTCGCGGTGACGCGAACTTTCCAAATTGTAAATTCAAAAGAGATTGCATAAAATGGCGAATACCGCGAATTCTCAGACATACCGTATTTGAACGAATATCCGATATTCATTTTTAAATTACATATGCATGCAATCGTCTTGTTCGATTTGAAATTATAAAATAGAATTATGAATATGAGATGTTATAATATTCAAATTTCTGTTACAAGTATAAGAGGCTTCGTCTAATAGACTTTCTAATTTCTAATTACTTCCTAATTATCTCGTACATTCAACCTTGTACAATTAGTATTTCAGAAAGATAAGAAGATGATGTGAATGTTTATATGTATATGATAAAATTATAATAATGATAAATAATGGAAATGGAAACTTTTCAGCGATCACTTTCTGATAGATAAAAAGAAAATAAAGGAGATAAAATATAAAAACAAATAAAACAGTACGTATTTCAATGCGCGTGGAAAAGAATTTCCGATTCGTTATATATTTTACTCGTGTATACAAGACTTAAGAAACAGCGCGATGTAAGAGCAACACCCGTTGTGCTCCACTTAATAAAGCTCTTCGAGTATCGCTCTTTGAGTTGCTATAAGCAGCATATGAAGCTGGTGTTTCTTATTTCAGCCTGACCGCATTAAAGTTCCGTCTTATTTCGGCGCGTCGAAGAAAATCGTCTCATTTTTCCATGGCGGATGTCTCGTCTGAAAAAAAAAAAAA